TCGAGAATGGCAGTGTAAGTGGATAATAGCCAGTCGGAAGAGTAATGGGAACTGGGGCGGGTGTTGGAGGGGGGAGGAGTGGTGCAGATTCAGTACATCCCTAGAGTGAGATAGGTAGCTGTTGGAGGATTATGAGCCTAGAAGTGACATCGTCTGGTTTAACGTTTCTTGATATGAATGTCTTCATTTACTAGGGAAATGTTGGATTTATTAATTCCTAGGGTCTTTTCTGATTCTCAAATACGGTGGATTAGGATGTTCTTGAGTTTAGTTCCTTGCAGAAGACCCCCGCTGCCTCCTGATGACTTCTTTTTCTATTGTGGTTGTTCAAAGTGTCTAATGGCAATGATTTATGAAAAGCCAACTGGATCTTGTAGGGAGTGGAGTGTTATTACAGAACTAAAGTGTGCAGTTTTTGTCTTAGTCCTCTTTATAACTACTTTCACACATCTGACTAATTATCAGAAACTTTTGAAAAACTCATTGTCTTGTAAGGCAGCAGACTCTGTTAGTACCCTGCCCCATGCGTCCCCTTGTTTTTAACTCTTACCTTGCATGCAGACTGACTTTGAATGTCCTACATCTGTGTTTTGCCTAAGTGCTTTTCTTTGACTGAAATCCCCAAGCACACTTGAAGTACCTGGGAATTAAAGCCCTCTTTTTTTCTCCCATCCAGTTTCCTAAGCAGGGTTCCACAAAGTACTGGTGAGAGAGTGTTCACCTACTCCATTTTCCCCATCACTTCATTGGATTAACACTGTAGTGTCTATGCTGGCTTTAAGTGTTTCCCCAATAGGCTCAAGCCCAGATATTTAGAGTGGAATTGAAATTGATAACACATTTTTATTGGCTTCCTTTCTTTCCTGATTTTTCATCCTTGGTCTCCTCTGAAATTTTCCTTTAAGTCTCTTGTAGGTTAAACAAATGCACCCAGTTCTTATCCCAGGGATTATTTCCAGGAGCCCAGACAAGAAAAACATCTATCTCAGAATTACAGAATCCTAATCTCACAGATGACTGGGTCCTGTAATCAATCATTCCTTTATTTAAAAAAAATTCTCCAGGAGATTCTGTTAATCTGGCTTGAGAGTTTCTGCTGTCTAGTATTTAATCTTGTATCTTTCATGTTCTGTGCTGTATATTTAAGTGATTTAAAATTTGTTTTAAAATCAATGTTTTAAAATTTATTTAAAAGTACAAATATGTATTTTAATTTGTTGGTAGGTGTGCAAAATATGTGGTACTTAAAAAATAGTTCAGTTCTACCTAGAGCAATTTAATTTGACTAGAGAAAAATACCTTGTTCTTTCTTTCTGCAGGTTCAGTGTGGTGATTTTCCTCACCTGTTAGTGTATGGACCATCAGGTGCTGGAAAAAAGACAAGAATTATGTGTATTCTACGTGAACTTTATGGTGTTGGAGTGGAAAAATTGAGAATTGAACATCAAACTATCACAGTAAGCATTTTACTTTGAGGCTTTCCAAATATTTATGGGAAGTATTCTTTTTTTATCAAATTTATTTTTTGTTTTTATTTGTTCTTTTTAGTTATACATGACAGTAGAATGTATTTTGACATATCATACATAGATGGAGTATAACTTTCCATTCTGTGGTTGTACATGATATGTAGTTACACTGGTCATGTATTCATATATAGACATAGGAAAGTTATGTTTGATTCATTTTACTGTCTTTCCAGTTCCCATCCCACCCCACCCCACCCCAACCTATTGTGAATCAGCATCTGCATATCAGAGAGAGAACATTTGTCTTTTGTTTCTGTTTTTTTTTTTTTTTTTTGGATTGGCTTGTTTCACTTAGCATGATAGTCTCCAGTTTCATCCATTTACCTCTACCAGCAAATGCGATAATTTCATTCTTCTTTTTGGATGAATAATAATTCACATTTTCTTTATCCATTCATCTGTTGAAGGCCTTCTAGCTTGGTTCCATAGCTTAGCTATTGAGTTGCTATGAATATTGATGTGGTCACATCACTATAGTATGCTGATTTTAAGTCCTTTGGGTATATGCTGAGGAGTGGAATAACTGGGTCATATGTTGGTTCTATTTCAAGTTTTCTGAAGAATCTCCCTACTGCTTCCAGGGTGTTTGCACCAATTTGCAATCCCACCAGTAATATATGAGTATATCTTTCTTTTTTCCCATATCCTTACCAGCTTTTATTGTTACTTGTATTCTTGATAATTGCCATTCTGATTGGAGTAAGATGAAATCTCAGTGTAGTTTTAATATGCATTTCTCTAATTGTTAGCGATGTTGAACATTTTTTCACATTTGTTGACAGATCATATTCTGTGAAGTGTTTGTTCAGTTCCTTTGCCCATTTATTGACTGGGTTATTAGTTTTTTTTGTGTGTTAAGTTTTTTGAGTTCTTCATATATCCTGGAGATTAATACTGTATATGAGGTACAGACAGCATTCTGTAGGCTCTCTCTTCACATTCTCGATTGTTTCCTTTGCTGTGAAGAGGCTTTTTAGTTTGATAAAACCTATTTATTGATTATTTTTTTTTTTGGCAGCAGAAGAGGGTGTTACTGGGGATGAAGTCAGGGGCACTCATCCACTAAGCCATATCTTTAGCCCCTTTTCTTGTATTTTGTTTAGAGACAGGGTCTCACTGAGTTGCTTAGTGCCTCACTTTTGCTGAGGCTGGCTTTGAACTCATGACCCTCCTGCCTCAGCCTCCTGAGCTGCTGAGATTACAGGCATGCTCCACAATGCTCAGCCCATTTATTGATTCTTGAGTTTGCTTGTGCTTTAGGAGTCTTGTTGATGTTGAGGAATTTGGTTCCTAAGCTGACATGATGGAGATTTGGGCCTACTGTTTCATCTTGTAGGTACAGGGTGTCTGGTCTAATGCCTAGGTCCTTGATCCACTTTGACTTGAATTTTGTGCAGGGTGAGAGGGGTCTAATTTCATTTTATTGCATATGAATTTCCAGTTTTCCCATATGGGAGGAATTTTTAATCAGGGTCATATATGTACCTTTCGTCCTCTTAGTTGTGCCTAACGTGATTTAAGAATGAATTTCACAGACGTACAAGATTGAGAGATAATAATATAAGAATGAACTTACGATGTACAAGATTGAGAGATACAAATGTATAGACCTCACAATTGTACACCAAAGTCATTTATGTTAGAAAGCATGAACAACAGGAGGTTTGCTGTAAAATGGACAGGGAGAGAGTCATTTTGGTTTATCTGGTAATTATCTAGTAAATAAGAGGATGTTGCAAATCCTCTTATTTACTAGATAATGAAATAATCTAGTAAATTATTTTTTACTAGATTATGAAAAAATGAAACTAGAAATCAAATTTCTGAAGTTCATTTTTTTTGGAAGCAGTAGTGGAGATGAAAAGAAACTGTAATTTTAATAATTTAAATGTGGAATCAAGTGACAGTGGAGCAACTGACTGGGAAAGGAAACTTGAGGCATTGGAAGATTGAAAGGCTTCCCATAATTTTGCTGTGGTGGAGTTTCTAGGTTTGTACCATTCACTGCATTGTCATGCTCTTTTCTTAGCGATGGCATTTCAGATCTAGTTAAAATGTCTCCTCTCTAAAGTGCTTCTTCCATGCATGAGAAATGCTGTTTATTCTATGAGCTGTAGTTTATACTTTTATAGTACTTTGTTTTGTCTAGATTATAGTTGTTCATATATCCTTACTTTGACAAGATTGTATTTGTTTTGAAGTTATGTAGGGAACATGCCAGATTGGTTTTCATATCGTCTTCATAGCCCCTGATGGAATGTTTTATACATGTTATGCCTTGAAAAAAAATGAATGCTGAATGTAGATGGTATTTATTAATAGAATCTTCAGGAGAATAAATGAGTTTTAGGCTAATATTGGTTAGCTTATGTTTAGACAGATCCAAGGTTGAGGAACTGGTGGTGCATCCTGACATAAATTCTTATAATATTATGTAGGGACAAATTTAGCAAGAAAACTGGAATCTTTAGGGGGGAAAAATGACAAAATCTTAACAGAAGAACAAAAAACAAGAGCCATCAAATAGAAAGATGCAACATGTTCTCAGATGAGAGATTCAAAAGTGTGTCTTTTCTCTAAGTTAATGTATAAATTTTAATGAAATTTCAATTTAAGTCAAGGATTTTTTTTTTAAATTATTTGAAATGATCCTCAAGTCCACATGGAAAGAAAACAATTCTGAGACCAGCTAACCTAATGATAAAAGAGAAGTTTAATGGAGTGGGGTTTGCATTACAAAATTGTAAATCATATTTGACAACTAATATAGTGTATTGACATGTGAATAGAAAATGTGACTAGTGAAAATGAAGTGAGCCTGGAAATATGCTGGAAAGTCTATTTGAAAATGGTGGAAAAATGTGACCCAGCAAAATGTGTCGTCATAACTACTTATCGATTGGGAGGAAAACAAAGTTCAATTTCTATGACATACCATTTATAAAGATAAATTCCAGGTGATTGATGTTAAAACAAAATGCTATATATTTTAGAATATGATAAAGGACTTCAGACATAAAATCAAAGGAAAAAAAGATTGTCACAGAATATTTGAAAGGAACATTAGGTAAGAGATTTTAAAATTGACAATGGAGAAAAACAACCTGGTAGAAAATGAAATAAGTAGTCAGTTGACAAATATGTGGCCAGTTTGACCTTTGAAAGAGTCAAACAGATTGTACATTATTTATTCAAATTGGCAAAAATTGAAAGGCATATTAAAACCAACTATAAATGGAGAATGTTGAGTAAGGGTGTTGGTTGCCAGTGGAAAAGTGAATTGTTAGATCTTTTTAAAACAGTGGTCTATAGATACACACACAACAAATGCAAAAAAAACCCAAAATGGCCATCAGTATGCCCATCAGCTGTTGATACCCATCTATAACATATCAGTTGTCTGGGAGGAATTGCCAAAATATATTGTTACCTAGAAAAAGCCATAGAGGTAAGGGTATGACTTCCTCTTTCTTTTTGTTTTTATGTTTTACAAGAAACACCAACACTGTACAAATAATTGTGCTTTATTTTTGTATTAACATGGAAAAAATCGTAAAAGAATATATTTAGATTGTTAACAGTGATGATATGGTGATAAATAAAGATTATTTGGGGATATCTGAAGGTAAGTGTTAGATGAAGGCTCAGACCTGGGTAACAGATTCCGGATCCAGGCAGGTGGAAGAATATGAAAGACACAGTTGGAATAGTCGACATTCTTTATTCAGAGTTTGCAGCAGCTCCTCCCTCCAGCTCCAGTTCCATTTTGCCTCTCCAGTTCCATTTAGCCCATTGAGCCATTTCCATAGGTCTTTTTTATATGCAGACCAGACAGAGACAGCACATTGACAGTCAACTACATAACTGAATGCATGATCACAAGCACATGTTTCTGACCTTGAGTACATTTGCTGAATCAGGAAGTTCATGACCTTGGCTACATTCTAAAAGCAGCCCACCCAGAAGCCTCACCATGGTAGGAATTATAGCCATCTTTAGAACTGCCCTACACACAATATAAACAGGATGTATGATGTGACCCAGTTGATATAAACATGTTTGCACATTAAGAATGGAGTTAGTGAAGTTACATTAATATTGGTTATATCAAGTACTATTGTTTTAAACAAACTTCAATTGTTTGTATAATAAAAGAAAAACATGAAATAGCAAATAATAGATGTTGAAAAAAATCTTGTTTTGTTTGTTTTGTCCACAGACTCCATCTAAAAAGAAAATTGAAATCAGCACCATTGCAAGTAATTATCACCTTGAAGTTAATCCCAGGTAAATTGCTGCTACTAAGCATTTTTAAAAGAATGGTTAGAAGTAAGCAGTTTTTAGCAATAATGCTTTCATACTTTTTTTTTTTAAAGATTGAAACTCTCAAAATAAAATTATATGAATGGAAGCATAGTATATAAAACAGATTAGAGTGACGCTATTTTTTCTCAAAATGTGGAGCCTAGTACCTTCCAGCTTCACTGCCTCTGTCAAGATAATTTCAGTAATATATTTTAAGTTTTCTTGCTTTTCAGAGTTCATTGTTAGTAAAGTTTTATTAAATTATATTGATTTATTCAGCATTCATGAGCAAAGTATGTCTAAAAATTTGTAATGTCTGGTTTAAATATTTTAGAAACTGAACTTGGGTTGCCAGATCTTGCTTTGTAACTTCTTGTGTTTCAGCTTCTTGTTTAGAGAGTATTATGATAGTCTACTAGCCAATGTGGTTTTGTCTGTCATGAGATAATAAGATTAGGATCTTGTTTAAAACTTGTGCAGCATTGGAAAAGTTGAGTAAACTTGCAAGGTTCTCTGGTGCCGGATGTGATCTTAAAAGAGAACAGAATGGAGGACCTTCTCCGCCAGAGGCAGCCTAATGGTAGAGAGGCAAGAATGAAAGTCCAATTCAGTGAGCAGGTGGAGACAAAGGGAGAAGGAAGTATGAGGAATAGTCTAATTCTACCAGGATTATGATACTTAGTCCTTAAAATAGCCCTAACAGATAGCTATTATAATTTTCCCTATTTATGTCAAAGAAAACTAAGAGAAATGAGATTTGTTGGTAATTAGTCTGATCATAAAAAGTAGAAAGGGTTAATTCTAAAGAAATGGGAAATGTTCTGGATTTTTGGCTAGAAAAATAATCATACAAGAGGCAATCTAGGTGTGCTTATCTAATTAAATTATAATGACTTGGGGAAAAAACTTTGGGGTTATTTGGGAAAATAAACTAAAGCTAATTATTTTACTCACCTCCTTTTTTTCTTGTGAGTTTTTCTGAATCAAAAATAGTCAGATATTAAGCTGATTGTTTTTCAGTGTTTGAAATTAATATTCATTTGGCTTAATTGAACCAGATGACTTTTGGGTATGAGAGGTGCTTTATTCAAGAGCCAAAGCAATAATATGGATGAAAATGACAAGTGTGTGCCTTTGATAAGTCAACAATAGTTTGTATCTTAAGCTCCACTTGCTTATCTCATCCTAGTAAACCCTTTAATCTGCTCCTTGCTACTGCTAGTAACAGACTTACCTAGGGCTCCTTCTTCCAGACCTTAGCTATTTGGGGGATAGGGACTATGAAAAGGCATCAATCACATTTCTGTTTCAGAGTTATTTTTATATTTTGATAGTTAGGGGTAATTGAGAAATTACTATAATTAGGTATTAACTTTTCAGTAGTGGGTACACAAGTGTTAGTATTTCCCAGATTGTTTCTTAATTATTATTACTCTTCTTAAGTAACAGTAAAAAATATTAAGAACATGGTTAGTGTTTTCAGTGACATCATATTTTCAGTGATACAGAAGTGTAATACTTCTTAAATATTTATATATGTGGATATTACTCTTGTTTTATGTAGTGATGCTGGAAATAGTGACCGGGTAGTAATTCAGGAGATGTTGAAAACAGTGGCACAGTCACAGCAACTTGAAACAAACTCTCAAAGAGATTTTAAAGGTATGTGATGAAACCTTGCTTTTTATGAAGCTGCCAAACATTAATAGTCTCTATAGAAGTCAGCAAGATAGGCATGACTCCTGTATTCATGGGAGCTTGTAGTCTAGTGGAATTGAATTTTGTGGGAATGAGGATTATTTCTGGTACCTACTTGATATTTTGGAACAAGATGAATAATTTAAAAAACCTATTATATCTCAAATAAGAAATTACATGATTTTAAAGTAATTATGACCACAGTTTTATGTTCATTATTAACTGTTTTGATGAAGGGGGTCCGGTGGGGTATATGTTGGGGGGAACAAACTAGCTATAATCCCATCATCCAGAAACAGCTACTATTAACAACTTGGTCTTTGCTTTCTAGTACTCTTTCTATATATATGCATGCAATTCTTTTTCATAAGATTTAGTGATGATAAATATGCAGTATTTAATGCTTTAAATGGATTTTGCCAAATTCTTTATCTGATGAAAGAATCTGTACATTTATATTAACACTGTTCAGGAATATCCATTTCTTCTCAACATTTAATCAACACTGCAGATAAATATTTTTTATCTTTCTCAGTTTGAGTGGAGGAAATAGTTCTTTGTTTTTCCTTCAATTAGTGTGATAATTTTTCTTGTTTCATTGCTTATTATTATTTTGTAAATTGCCTGTATTTAAAAGTAAACATTTATGGATTTATTTTTTATTCCTATAAATGGAAACTTTTCTTGTATTTTTTATTTATATGACAATTATTGATGTTTTATCTTAATTTTATATCCTGTTGATAACATTTCTAATGTGTAATAATCTTCATATTTTTGTGTTTTTCAGATATATATATATATATTTCAGATACACACACACACACACACATATAAATATTTTTTTCTCTTCCAATTTGTAGGACTTTGAATAGTTTTTCTTGTCTAATTATGTTGCCAAGTATCTACAGTACAGTGCTTCATAGTAATAGAGCCCGTGAACATACATGTCACAGTTCTAGAAGGAATGCCTTAGTATTTCCCCGTTTAGTTAGTTGTTAGATTTTGACAGATGCATTTCTTACTTGGTTACACTGTATTATTTTATACAGATATACTATTGTTCCTTGCTTACCAGTTATTACTTGGTTACTATCTCTAGGATCACCACATAAAATAAAAATAATGGTATGTATGAATATAAATATTTAGAAAATTCTGTGCTTTTAATCTGTGATAAGAATTATGCTGAAGTTATATTTTAAGAAATATGGTTAAAATTTTAAATTTGAATCAGCTAACAATTATAAACCTTTAAAGTGAAATGTTTTAGTCATTAAAAACACAAACAATATTCCAACATTCAATTAAAATTAGATTTACATTACTAAAATTTATAGACCTGTTCTTACATTTAGTATTATATTTTAAAAAACAATATTTAGGTAATAAGTTTAGAAGATGGTTTAATTCTTCAGTACTCAGAGATGTTGTTCTGTTTCTATATTTTTTTTTCTTATAACTGAATTCAGCTGTGATCCTTTTCCTGTGATCATTTTTTAAAAATGCAAATATGTTTTCCTGTATTAGGAAGAAGGAGGACTAGGAGGCCAGAGAGATTTTCTAGGTTTGGGACTCTAGATCTGTCGCTTATTTTATTTTTACAAACTCTACTCCCTGTTTTCCTCCCTGCCACTTTTATTAGCATTCTTTCCTTTGTCTCTTTCCTGTTCCACTCAATTGAGTGCTGTTTTTGGGATTCCTCATTGTGGAGCCTTATCTTAGTAGGGAACTTTGTTTTGTTTTCTTTACAATCTATGTCTTTGTCAGATCTTACTGCTTCAGCATTCCCTTGGTCTCATCCATGAGTTGGGCTCTATGGAATCTGCCTCCTAATTCAGATTGCTGTTTCAAATTGTCCCATGATAATTTCCAAGTGTTGCAGGCATTTTGGGGGTTCTCCTGTCCTAATGGCTGACAAAAGATTAGTGGATTCCTGCCACTACCTTCCACCAAAGTGCTGATGCTCTGAGGGTCTTTTCATTTGTAGTTGCTTCTTCTTACTTGCTTATATTTGAGTTCTTAGGTAAAGTTTGTCATTTAGTTTGAAATAGATGTTCCTGGAATCATTAGTTATTCTGTTTGTTTTTGAGGGGAGATTCATATGCCACACTGCTGCCACTGCTGTCTTCCACATTAATTTATTAATATAATGAAAACTAGAAAAATTGGATTCAGTCCCTGCTTACATACTATTCCTGAACCACTGTAAGGCTGATCCCAGATTGTGGCCAGGTGGGAATCTTACTCTACAAGCATACAGATATTTTTATGCCTTGTTGGCTATGTTTCTTGAAACAGCGCCTTCCAAAGTGTATTCCTTAGAATTTTACATCCCTATCTTGGTAAAATTTAAGTTTGTCTTGTTTCTGTTTGACTCAGTGGTATTATTGACAGAAGTTGACAAACTCACCAGAGATGCTCAACATGCTTTGCGCAGAACCATGGAAAAGTACATGTCCACCTGCAGATTGATCTTGTGCTGCAATTCAACATCCAAAGTGATACCACCTATTCGTAGTAGATGCCTGGCAATTCGTGTGCCTGCTCCCAGCATTGAAGATGTATGTCAAGTTAAACTTATCAGAAAAAATTGAGTTCAAATTCTCTGATCTTTGTATATATCTCTGACATATTTTTTTTTTTGTTAAAACCCAGTGAAGTATATCAATAATTTAAGAACAGTTATGGAAAGACCTGGATGTAAACCATTAATAGATGTAAATATCAACATATATAGTAGTGAATACCCACATATCAATATATAAAATATGTTCCTTAAACCATCTCTTACCTTAAGTAGGCTTTAAGAATTTTACGAAGCTAGATATGGGTTAATTACTTATTATCCTTTACCTCAAGCTGATTTATTTGATTGTAGTAGGAAATTTAAAAATAGAGGAAATAGATTTTGCAAGAAGATGATGTGGTTATGCCTGAAACAGCATTGATGCATATTATTTCTCTTTGCAATTCTTAACAGTGTCAGTTAAAAGAAAATATTGATTGCTCACAGTAAGCAGCTTTCCTTTTGTTAATAGATTTTGGAAGGTTTTATACAAAATAGGGAGAATAAAAGACGTTGTGTTAGATACAATTAGTAAAGTACCTTTACAAATTTCACTTGTGAAAATTTGAGGAATGATACAATTAAAAAGATGTAAAAGGATACTATCAATAGAAATTATCTATGCTTTTTGACAGACTGCTCATGTTTGTTAATTTGACTTACAGATTTGCCATGTGTTAACTACTGTGTGCAAGAAGGAAGGTCTGAATCTTCCTTCACAACTGGCTCAGAGACTTGCAGAGAAGTCCTGTAGAAATCTCAGAAAAGCCCTACTTATGTGTGAAGCCTGCAGAGTACAACAGTGAGTGGAAGGGGCAGTTACTGCAGGAAACTTCTGGGAAATACGTACACTTCTGTTTAATTTATTGGGTTCTCTTTTTGTTGTGTAGATATCCTTTTACTGCAGATCAAGAAATCCCTGAGACAGATTGGGAGGTGTACCTGAGGGAGACAGCAAATGCTATTGTCAGTCAGCAGACGCCTCAAAGGTAAACAGTATGAGGTGGTGATAATAGAGATTTGATCAAGATAGTTCAGTTAGTGGCTCTTTTATGCTACCACCATGTCATTTAGAGATATAATTAGATCTTGAATCTAAATATTGAACTTTTAAATAAATGTTAGAGTTTAATTCTAGAAATGCAGTGGTTCAGAATAGTTGGTTTGGCGTGTAGATAAGCTGTTAATGTGTAAAATTTGGTTTATATGTAAATTAAATAAATCTGGGAATTTTTAGTTGTCCTTTTAGACTCTCTGATGACTTAAACATCATTTGTTTGGCTTTCTAGTATTGAAAAAAATAATATGTCACTTTGAAATTAATGCAAATGTGCCAGAAAGACATCAGACTTTTTTTTAAATTTTAAAATATATTTAACTTTTATTATCCACATAAAGACTGTAATTTTTCATGAATGTACAGATGTGATTATATACAGTCTGTCTATCTTCAATCTTTTTCCCCCTTTTGCTTGGCTCCTCAGAGACTAGTATATATCTTTCCATATTTTATATTTTTCTACTTGTTCATATAACTGTGAAAGTATGTGGGGATTCTTTTTAGTTATTGCTTATTTTATAAAAATGGAAGCCTATCTTCATACTTTTTTGTAAATTGCATTTCTTAATGATACCATGTGGAACTCCTTCCAAGTCATAGCTGTAACTCATTTTCTAAAGAAATTAATAGGCTTTATATTTTTAGAGCAGCTTTAGGTTTCCTGAAATAAGCAGAAAGTTCCTAGATGTTCCTTCATCCCTTTCAATTTCCTCTACTATTGATATCTTGCATTAATTGTGGTATATTTGTTATAACTGACAAGTCAATATCAATACATCATTATTAATGCAAGTCAGTAATTTAAATTAGGGTACAGTCTGGATTTGGGCAAATGTGGGATGTGATCCACCATTATAGTATCATACAGAGTAGTTTCATTGTGCCAAAAGTCTGATGCCCTCAACCCGTATGTATGTCCATTCGTCCATTTTTTAATTTTTTATCCTAAGCAACCACTGATTTACCCCCCCCCGTTCCTTCCTTTTGCCTTTTCTAGAAATTCACATGGTTAATACTATGTATAACCTTTCATATTGGCTCTTTTTAAAATTTGTTCATTTTAGTTACACTTGACAGTAGAATCTACTTTGACATATTTATACAAATATGGAATATGTATTATTCTAATTAGAATCCCAGTCTTGTGGATATACACAATGTTGAGATTCACTGTGGTATATATACATAGGAAAGTTATGTCAGATTCATTCCACTGTCTTTCCTATTGACATCAGACTTCTTATCCTAATTTAGCTAGGTATCCTTGAGCAGCTAACTTCATTTTTGAGTTTCCGCTTTCTCATTTGTATAATGAAGATACGATTTTTTATTATTCTGTCAAGGATACTTATGTCTTTGTTGTAAAGAGCAAAAGAGATTGTGTGATACTGGTTTGAGAACTAAAAAAACTTCTGTGCTCATGCCTAATGATGGATTCTGTTAAGAATAATTCTAAGAATATACCATTGGTATTAGAAAGTATTTTTTGACACTAATTGTGCAAAGTTTTTTTCTATTTACTTCTGTGGATTTGTTATTCAGTGATTGACTATACTGAAACTCCTCAGTCACTGGTTGTTTGATTTATGATAGTTTGATTGAGAAAGACAGTCTGCACTTCTCCAAATAAAATATGACAGCCTTAAGGCCCACTACCTTTGTAAAGTATGGAGGAGGTTCCTCAGGCTTGCTGAAGCAAGCCTGTTATCCTCATTGTGTCAGAACTGAGAAACCATCTTTGAACTTTAGCAATGGTCATTGATCACTTTTAGAGTACAGGATAGACTGAGTGCAGTCACTAGAACTCAAGATTCTCTGGTTGAACTGAAATTAATGACATTTCTTTTCTCTTCTTGGTTGATACATCTGAAGAATACAGATTTTCGTAAGAGAATATTCAAAAGGATTCAAACATGTTTTGACATGTCTTAGTAGCCTTTAACTTTCATATAATATTTCTATACTGAAGGTGGCTTTCTTGTTTTTGTTATGATTTTAAAGAAGATAAATTGATAGTAGAAGTTTCTACTTTTAAGATTTTGGTATAGAAATTTGATAATTTTCGGATGTACTTTTAAAACTTTGATTATTGTTTTGCCTAATTCTTCCAGCTGCTGCTACCCTTTATTCCAATCTTCCTAACAAGTATTGGCAGCTTCTAAATTAACTTGTGCAAGAAGTACTGCTCTTTCCTGTTTAATCTAATAATTGTGGGAATTGATTCTATTGTGCTGAATAAACAGAAATTTCCCCTAATTCCTGAAAGCCTTGGAGCTGGCCAGAAATACTGGCACAGGGTAGTGTTATTTTAATTATTGTCCTATGCAATCCCAAATGACTTGATTTTTTGACCTTTAGTATTACTATAAATGTTTGCTGTCTTGATTCTTGTTTGCTCTGTCTTAAAATAGTCATAATTTTTGAATTTGAATAGTTTATATTTAATGAATGATATGTCACCTCTTACACTGTTTCCTCACTTAACTCATAACAGTTCTAGGAGAAAAATGTTATCATCTTTGCTTTAGAGATAAGAAAACAGATTTAGTCAGATTAACTTATACAGGAACATTCAGTTATTAAAAGGCAGAGACTTACTCTAGAATACCCACGATTCTTTGACTAAAGAATTTATACTCTTAGTCACCTAGAACCCATCAAAAAATAATGACACAAACATAGTAAATTTAGAGTATATTAATTTTTAGAAACTATAATACTAGAAATTAACTCTAACATGAGATACATATTAACATGCATGGATATACACAATATAGTTATAAAACAATTGTATAGGTAAATATATCCTGAATTGACTTTTTGGAAATAAGCTACGTGCATATATTAAAATAATTTCCTATCATGATGTTTGTTTTATTACTTATGCTTTAATAATCAGGTTTTATTTTTGAGATACACTAATGTGTCACTGAGCGATCCCAGGCATTTGAGTTAGGCATGTATAAAATGCTGCCTCAACTCCCTGAGTTTTAATATAATCGTAGTCTCCCTGAACTTCAGGTTCTTTTCAATAAAAGAGCATGTTTATTGTGAGGAATAGTATATTATAGTGAAGCTACTTCAGAACAAGGTGTCAAATAAATGCTTAGCACACATTGGAAAGATGTGGACTTTGGATTAGATGGAACCATGTTCAAATAATGCTTTGCTGAGGCTAACTTTGTGAAGTTACTAAACTGTTTCATTTTTTCAATAAAAAAATTGAAGATAAAGTTTTTCACATAGCTGGTATGAGAACTGAATTAAATTATTTGATGTATACATAGCAGGTATCCCCAAAATGTTATTTCTTTTTTAAATTTTTATTTAGTTTTAATGTGTCAGAGCTTTATATTCCTAGAGTCTCAGAAAAAGGAGTCTGAACTTGAAGAAATTTTTTATCAGTGATTACCCTGATTTATCTGAAGTATGGACCATCTGTAGTATAGTAAAAATTCAGAAGTTTTCTCTCTTTAGGATAAGTAAATATTTAGATAAAGATAATTATTTTAAGTGTATTGAGAATTTTAATGGTTTTTTTTCCTTTGTTCTGAAATGGCATGTATGTATTTATTTATCCTTTTGCTTTCTGAAATGTTTTGAGAAGGGCCTGGCATTAAGGACTCAGAGGTTTAATGTTCATATTGACTTAGCTTGTTTTGTACTTAACCTATAACTTCTTGTCCTCCCTCTTTTGTGGAAGGATTTCTTTGTGTCCCTGCTATATTGCTTTGTTCCTGTGTAGTCTAGGCAGTCGCATATTTTCTGCTTATGTTGTCTCTTATCACTTGTGTAATTGCTAATGACCATTTTCTAGATATTTTAAAAAACTTCTGTCTGTAGTAAAAATATGAACATTAAATTTCTTGGTGTAGTACAACCCTCACCATTCCTGCAGTCTTAATTTCTATCTGGTACTTTTGTGGTTGATATAATAAACCTGATTATTACTCTATTTTAAAAGACTATTGTAATTTCTTTTTAAGTGAACTGAAATTAGAAGTTTTATGTGTATATCCTTAATGTGATGTGCTATTTGAAAAAATATGTGTGTATTGGATTGTTAAAATTGTCTCTGATTTTCATCATAAAATAGCAATTATTTTGTTTTATATAGGCTTCTCGAAGTTCGTGGAAGGCTTTATGAGCTTTTAACTCATTGTATTCCTCCTGAGATAATAATGAAGGTAACCCTATTTCAGATCTTGAACTGCTTATAAAATTTGGATTTTGGGTGTGTGAAAAGAGGGCTTTTCAAAGTACCAATATAAATTGTCACCCCTTTTTCTCCATTTCATTAATTCCACAGATATGTATTCAGCTTCTGTATGCCAACTACCATTAGGGGAGTGCTAAAGAAGGGTGGGGAGGAGACCTGCCTTTGGGGAAATTATGTTCTAGTAGAGTGAAAGAGGAAACAAGTAAGGATTTTAGAATGTTATAAACGCTATAGAAGAAATAAATTGATGCAGTGATAATAATGGAGGATGTCCATTGATAGCTGTTCTGTGGAAGATACTTATTGCTTAAACTGAGACTCAGAAGAATAAAAGGAAACAACCATATAAATAGCTGGGGGATAAGAATTTCAGAGAGCAAGATTCAGGGTACCTTGAGGATGAGGTCGAAGATGTAGGCAGAGTCCTATTAGCTAGCAAAATTTATTAGTTGCTAGATATTAGAAAATAGAAAGTTTGTGTTTATTAAAATTAAATGGTGGTACTTCACACAAATTCAAATGTTACTAAATATACAAACTAAAGAGAAAAGCATCTATTTTTCAATCTACAAGCATTGCCACTTTAAACAGACATCTGTTCTTTTCATAGAGAAACAAGTATATGTGTGTGTGTAGTTTTCTAAAAGTTTTTGTGTTTTCTCCTTTGTTTTTATTCAGCAATATAGCGTGATATTGCTTAATGACTTTACAGATTTGCCTTATTCTTTTTAAATGGATGAATGGTTTTCTTTTGTATGATATCAGTTTTTTTGAGTGTGGCTTCGATTCGTGGAATATTAGATTGTCTACAGATTATTATTATAAATAATGCAACAGTATGTATCATTGTAGTATATTTGTTCACCCTTCTACAATTGCATACAGATGATCCTCCACTTACTATAGAGTTATATCCTGATAAATCCACATGATAAGCTGAAGATACTATGTATTAAAAATGTGTAGCAAGGCATGGTGGCGCCTAGTCCTAGCCACTTGGAAGGCTGAGGCAGGGAATCACTTTAGCATACAAGTTTGAGACCAGCCTGAGTAGCATAGTGAGACCCTGTCTCAAACAACAAGAACAACAAAATAGCATTTAACACATCTAACTTACAGAACATTTAACAATACTATAGAATATTGGTTATTTACCTATGTGATTGTGTGACTGACTGATAGCTATGGTTCATCCTCCTTCTCCTGAATCTTGAGAGAGGATTATATTGCATATTGCTAGCCCAGGAAAAGATCAAAATTCAAATAATGGTTTCTACTGAATATGTTATTCCTTTCACACCATCATAAAGTGAGAAAAAACCCCAAACAACCATTTAGTTTTAGTTGGGCTGTTAGAAGTCAGAGGTTTCCATGGAATTTAATTTGGAATTTGGTAGGTAAGCACCACACTATTATTTCAGAAGAGGTATAAAGCTTTTGGTTTTAAAGTAAAACTTCTGGTTCACAAATAGATTTCACATATATAAAAAGCATATTTAAGTTTTACTTGTTTTTGTGAATGAGAGAGATGAAGCATGTTTGGCTAATTTTAAAAAATTATTACTTTTTAAGTTACTAATTATTTTTCTATAGGGCCTTCTCTCAGAACTTTTGCATAATTGCGATGGACAACTGAAAGCAGAAGTGGCCCAGATGGCAGCTTATTATGAACATCGTCTACAACTGGGTAGCAAAGCCATTTATCACTTGGAAGCATTTGTGGCCAAATTTATGGCACTTTATAAGAAGTTCATGGAGGATGGATTGGAAGGCATGATGTTCTGACTTCAGTTAGTAATTCTTCCATGTATTTCTCAGTATCAGCATTTACTCGTAATTTATATTAGAAGAATGTTGTGTAAAATAAACAGACTTAATCATATATATTTTGTGTTTTTTTGTAATTCCTCTTTGAATTTACTAATCATTATCATTTTCCTCTACATTAAATAATCGCTTCTATACTCTTGAAATATATTGAAAGGATACAATTAGAAACTTTTGAGTCTAGGAAAATTATTTTAATTTACTTTAAACATTAGTTTTTCAAGTATGCAATATCAATCATTCCATTCTCTTTCATCTAATCTCTTAGGTGATATAGGAGACTTATACAATAAGGGAGCAAAGATAATTTTCTCTTTTTTAGACTGCTGTTTTTGACTACAGGGTACATGGTACTTTGCTTGGTAAATCATTACTTTTAATCACATTATCCCTTAACAAAGAACTGTACTTTTGTAGAGAATATAAAAATTCACATACAGCATATGTACACCCTTTGTGTTGCCATGTGGTGCCTTGCATTGCCTTGGAAGGCCATCATCAGATGTGACCCGTTGGCCCTGTATTTCTGTAATCATGAGATAAAATACACTACTATATGAAGTTATCCAGCCTCAGGTATTTTGTTATAGTAAAAATGGATCTATATATCAGGTGACAAATGCATGGTGGTATTCCCAGGTTTTAACCAAATATGAAGAGCTTTTCAGAAATAAACATTTTTCAATTTGTTGTCTTGACTTTGATCAATTTTGTCCCGAATTGGTTGTTTTTTTTTTATAATTTTGTTTACTTTTATAATTTGCTATGGAGGAAAAAGACCCAGTATCTTCCTGTTTTTATTAGAAGTATATTTTTGCTGATTCTTCATTACTTTTTGTAGATTAAGATTTCAATCTTGTTATTTTCCTTCAGCTTGAAAAATTTTCTTTGGCAATTCTTCTAAGGCAGGTCTGCTGGTGAATTATCAGGAATTTTGGGGATTTTTTTGGCCTAAAGTGGTTTTATTTTGCACTGTTTTGAAAAGCATTATTTAACGTATTTATAATTTTAGTTTGATAAGTTTATGAAATGTTTTCTCTGTAATTTGCATCGTGAAGAGTCATCCATAGTCATTTAAATCTTCTTTTTTGTATTTGTGTATTTGTGTATGTGTGTACATGCATATTACATATACACACACATAAGTATGTGTATATATATATATATATTTTCACCCTCCCCCCATAGCTATCTTTTTTGCAACTTCTCTTTGATTACTTCTCTGATTACTTTCCAGAAGTTTGATTGTTAGGTGTTGGTATGATTTTTCTTTGTGTTCATCCTACTTTAATACTGCTTTGAGTTGGTTGAACTTCTTAGATTTGTGAGTTTATGTATTGAATTTGGAAAAGTTAGCCATTTTCTTCAAATGTTCTTCTGCTCTCTCTTCTGAGACTCTAGTTTAAGCAATTTGACAGTGTCCTATAAATTATTCTTTTTTTCCCCTAGCCTTTTTCTCACTGTTCTTCAGTTTATTGTCTTCAAGTTTACTTATGTTCTCTTCTGCATAATCCAAAGACAATCCCATGAAGTTTTTATTTTAAGTATTTGAAATTTTAAGCTTTGGAAGTTTGTCTTACCACTTGGATTATGTTTCTTATTTTCATTCTGTTTGTTTTTCTCCCAAATGTATTGGACATATATTTAATAGCTCTCGAAAAGTCTTGGCAAATTTTACTCTATCTGTAAATCAGTTTCTGTTGACTAATATTTTCCTGATTGTTGGTCAGATTTTCTGCTTTTTGTACATGCCCTAGTGTTTTTTTGAATATTGGCTATTGTGATTATTACATTGGAATATTACATTATTGTCTGAATTCTGTTGTCTTTTTTGTTTGTTTTAACTGTTAAGCTTTGTTTTGGCAGGCAGTAATGTGCTTGTTACTTTCATATTTTTCATGTTTGTTTTTAAGCCTTATTGGGGTGAGCCTAGTAGTATCCTTACTCCCTAGGTTTGCTTAGGCATGATTATTTCTGGGGTCTATTGAATGCTCCAGAAATCAGTCAGACCTTTGGTAATTGGAACTCAAATGTTTTCCAGCCCTGTGTGAGCTTTTTACCCAGTCGTTTCCCTTTTTTTAACATTTTTGTTTGTTCCTTTGTTTCCTTGCCTAGCCTTGTGATTCTTAATGCATATGCATCTGATTAATCAGCCAAAGATACAAGGCAACTCTTAGCAGATTTCTGGAGCAGTTTTCTATATAATTCCTTTCTACAGAGGAAATGCACTGCATATGCTCTGCATACTCAACCATCTCAGCTTCTCTCTGAATTCTCTTTGCTTCTAAACTTAGTGTTACTACTGTTCTTTGCTTGGCTTTTCCCTTTCTACTCTGTATCTGGAAACGGCCTCCAGGTGGAAAGAAGCAGGGTGATTGTAGACTTTACATCATAGGTTTCTTTTCTGTAATGCATCACAGTCACAGTCTTACATTGCTTGCTGTCTTGAGTATTTTGGAATTACTTTATGTGTTTGCCCAGTTTTCTTAAAAGAGCCAGCTTAATATTGGTTAATACATTATAACTAGTAGTGAAAGTCTTGGAGTTTGGATTCTTACCTAAGACCCTGGTTCCTGGTTGTGAATCACTATCTCAAGCAGTTCTTTAAAAATCTCTGACTTTAAATTTTTATATAAATTAAAATTTTGTTCCTAGGATTTAAAGTTAAAATATACATTACAACAAAAACTCTTGTCATGGTTTTACTTAAATGCTGTTTTATATTGCAGTTAAGTTAGAATTGAGTAACAATACTTTAAATGTAATTTCCAAATCATAGCACTCTGCATCATGAAACACATTGCTTAGAAAATAAAAAAACCCTTGTCAGAAGTTTTCTTTGTACCTAGGTCCCAAATAAAGCAGTCATTTCTCTTTATTTCAAATTGATGGACTGGATTTCACTAGCCACCTTAGTTTCTTTCCTGTTTACAGTTTTTGTGGAAATTTGGAGCATTATTTCAAGATGTTCTTTATCAGTTTGATCATGGTATAGAAGATTCAGAATATTTCTAAGTACTTTCCTCTCTAGCTATGCAAAAATAATAATCTCTATAAACCTTAGTTCATGTCTAAATGACAGCCTAATGCTGATTTGTAAGCACAGCCTAATGCTGATTAACAAACACTAGATGGTACTTTTGTGGCTTGGTACTTTATGTTTCTGCTGCAGTTATTTAGATTAGCTGATTGCCCACCAAAGTTACCTTCCCTTTAATATAGTAACATAAGAAACTTAAGTAACTTCATGAAGAGCAGCTGTGCAAAATAATCACTAGCTGTAGGCATGCAAAGAACTTTACACAGCCTTTCTGGAATAACATTAAGTCTCTTTATGTGAGGCAGTATGCTAGGCTCTTTATAGACATGCTCATTTAATTCCAACAGGCTTTGAGGTAGACATTATTATCTAGTTTTACAGATGAGAAACTGGATCCAGGCAGCTGAGCACCAGCTCCACTCTAATAAATTCACAATTACCAACCAAGGAAAAATGGACCCTCAACACTGCCCAAACAAACTTATGTTTCTCTAATCAGTATTTCTTTCAAAACTTCATTTGGAACAGAAAACTTTGTATGTGTTCTGTATTCCTATGTCTTCATTTGTATGCATCTTATGTTCCCATATCTGCGTTCATGTGTATTCTGTCTTCTGATATAATAGAAAAGTTGCACATTTCTGTTTTAAATCTAATCCCCCCACCACCTGTGCCTTGGATTCCACCAGTTTTTATCCCATCTAAAGAAAACATACAATGTCCTTTGATCTCCTATTTTCAGCTCATTTACAAGTGGATCATTCCCCTTTCCCTCCACTTTGGTACTAGGGATAGAATTCAGAAGCTTTAACAGGTGAATTTAGAAAGGTCATAAGATAAAAAATGAATAGATAATAGTATTTTTGTGTTGTAGCAATAAACTATTGGAAGATAAAAGTTTAACTGATTCAATTTATGACATCAAAAACCCCCTAATAAATTTAAAAGTACTCAAGACTTGAAAATCAAGAAGTCATTGTTGAAATAAAAATGTCCTAAATTATTTAAATAGAGAAAGACAACTTGGATGAAGACTCAAGATGGTAGTTTTCCCTAAAGCAATCTATGTTCTAATTGCAACCTTTATTGTTATTTTTAAATTGTGGTAAATCCCTTTAAGATTTACCCTGTCAACCATTTTTAAGTGTACAGTCATTGGCTTTATGTACATTCACAGTATTGAGCAATCATCAAACCATCTTCTGTAGAACTCTTTATCTTGCAAAACAGAACTTGTGTATATTATAAATAGTAACTTTTCACAATTCTACATTCTGTCTATGAATTTGAGTACTCTTTGTTGCCTCATGTGCAATCATACAATATGTCTCTTTTTGTGACTGGCTTATTTCACTCTGCATAATGTCTTCAGTAAACTTTTCAGCAGTTTGACTAATATGCCTAATGTGGTTTTTTTGTAATTATCCTGCTTGGTATTCATTGAGCTTCTGAAATATGTCAATTTACATCTTTCACCAAATTGTGCATTTTTTCACTCATTTTAATATCAAATATTTTTCTACCTCATTCTTTTATCAAGGAATTAAATCATATATTTATTTGAATTTTTGTTTTCCCACAAATCCTCATATCTCAGTTTGTACACATTTCTTGCACAATTTTATCTTTTGTTTTTCAGAGTAGGTAATTTCTACAGATCTGTCTTCAAATTCACTGACTCTTGTCATCTTCATTCTCCCAATCATTTGTATAATTTTGTGTATCCAGTGGTTGTGAATGATTCAGCCATTAAAGAGTACAAGAGTACACAGAATCCGGGTTCAAACACTATTGTTTCCTTTACTGGGGTTGTTCCTATCACATTATAGCAGCTGTTTTGGTTTGTTTTGGTAGTCATGGGATTTGCATTTATTAAAAATTTGTTCCTTTTAGATATACATGTTAGTGGAGTGTATTTTGACATATTGTACATACATGGAGTATAATTTATCCTAATTAGGATCCCGTTCTTGTGGTTGTACAAGATGTAAAGTTTCACTGGTTGTGTATTTATTTATGTATGAACACAGGAAAGTTACGTCTGATTCATTCTACTGTCTTTCCCAATCTCATCCCACCTCCCTTCCCTTTGTCTAATACAGTGAATTTCTATCCTTTCTCCCCCATTATTGTGTGTTAGCATCCACATATCCGAACATTCAGCCTTTGATGTTTTGAGACTAGCTTATTTTACTAAGCATGGAAGTCTCCAGATCCATCCATTTACTGGAAAATGCCATATTTTCATTCTTTTGGCCAAGTAATATTCCATTGTGTATAGATACAATATTTTCTTTATCCATTCATCTGTTGAAGGACACCTAGGTTGGTTCTATAGTTTTGCTATTGTGAATTGAGCCGCTATAAACATTGAAGTGGCTTTATCACTATGTATGCTGATTTAAAGTTCTTTAGCTATTTACCTAGGAGTGGGGTAAGTAGGACAAATGGTGGGTCCGTTCCAAGTTTCCTGAGGAATCTCCATACTGCTTTCCAGAGTGGTTGCACTAATTTTTTACCA